TCGATGTTTCTCTCTCATCGATGTTTCTAACTCTCTATCCCTCTCCCTTTCTCTCTGTAAAAAAATCAATAAAATATATTTAAAAAAATAAATAAATAAATAAAAATGAACACCTGACCCATGGAAGTCTTGTGCCACTCAGACCTGACATCTCCATTTTGGGTGGGTTAACTAGGACAGGACAACTAGAATGCAAGGGCTCATTTGCTGGTCAAATTAAAATGTATTTGAGGGCATGGCTGGCCTGGCCCTGTTATCTCAATTTTGCATAAAGTAGCAGCTACCCCTTTGGGAAAAACTTTATCCCATTCTGCCACCTAAGGCAAAGTTACTGGCTCAATAAGGGCCCCACAGAGATTCTTCTAAATGCCTGGGCCTGTTTCACCTGATTCAACTAAGCTGAAAACTGATGTCACCGATAGTGCTCCTGCCAGTCTGACCTCAGTGCCCTCTATGATGGTTGCTGGAATCAGTGGGCAGAAGTCAAGTTTGTTCTCAAAGCTCTGGTCAGTTGGGCTGAGGAGCAGGTTGTCAGGAGGATTAATATGTCATCGGCCCTGAATGTCCCAGCACATTCTTGCTGGGTAGGCCAAGAATGCAAGGCCTAGAGTGCTCTTTGTTCAGGCCATTTCTCTGGGCTGTGTTTGTAGTGAACAATCTTGAGAAATAAGGTAACCCTTGCCTGGCCAGTGTGGGTTAGTGGTTGAGTGTCGACCTATGAACCAGGAGATCATGATTTGATTCCCAGTCAGGCACATGCCTGGGTTGCGTTTCCATCTCCAGTGTAGGGTGTACAGGAGGCAACTGATCAGTGATTCTCTCTCATCATTGATGGTTCTCTCTCTCTCTTTCCTTCTCCCTTCCTCTCTGAAATCAATAAAAATATATTAGGGGGGGGGGGGGGGAAGGAAGAAAGAAGATAATCCTCCCCAACTCCAGAAGCTCACTGCTCATTATAAAAGCAGATTCCCTAAGCTCAGTGTTTTTCAAATGTGCCACAAACCCACTGAATGCCCAGCACCCATCTACAGCCATATTTGTATCCTCTGTGAGACTTGAGGGGAATGGGAAATTGATAGCAACCTCATGCTCATGCTGCTTGCTATGTTATGAGTAATTAAGTTCTCGGTCTCTGACATGGTATCTCCTGAATTCTGCCAGCATCCATGAAATAATCACAGGTTAATTTGTTAGCTTGCAAATACATTAAAATCCCAGCTCCTTCACAGATCCTGACTTCATGGGGACTGATGTAAGAGTAAACGCCCTATATAATCCAAAGGTCTTGGACAAGGACTCTGAGTATGTGACATTCATGGCTGGTTTGTATGCCTAAGGTCTGGTCTTCCCTAGGTCACTCTGCTCTGTTACAGTAATTCAGCTGCCCATTCTTTCAGTTGTTCCATTCCCCCAAAAGACATTATCCTGCATAAAACACTCTTGTCACTCTTTAATAACAATAGCAACAGCAGCCACTAATATTTATAGAGTAAGAGACATTGTTTTAAAGATTTGAGGTCTTGTTCTACACACTTTTTATACACTACCATCTTTACTCTTCAAAATAACCCTATGCAGGGGATACTATCACCTCCAGCTTACAGATGAGGAGACAGAGGCATAGGCCTAAAGTTAGGGTAGAGATAGGGTTCAAAAACAGACAGCCTGGCTTTAGTCCTCACTTTTAACCACTCTGTATACTGCCTTAGAGTAGGACTTTGTATTCTCGGAGCCATAATGAACCACAGAGGCCTAGAGATCTTTATTTGATATTTTAGGAAGATGATTCCAGTCAAATTTTTAACACTTGATTTTAACATACAACATTTTAAAATACTTTTTGACAACCTATATATAGGCAATTAGATAATCTGCTTTGATCTTTTCTACGCAGCCTATGTATAAATCCAGTGTCGTTTTCATACTCTGTATTAGTGTCCTATTGTTATATCATAAATTATCAAACTTAGTAGCTTAAAACAACACAGATTTATTTTCTTACAGTTCTGGAGGTCAGCAGTCCAAAATGGAACTGCACTGCCTCTGGAGGCTCCAGGGGAGAATCCATATCCTTGCCTTTTCCATTTTCTAGAAGTTGTTTGTGTTTCTTGGCTCATGGTCCTTTATTCCATCTCCAAAGCCAGCAGCAAGGCATTTTCAAATCTCTCCCCCTACCCCCGCCTGCCCCTCCTCTGGCTCTCCTGCCTGCCTCTTTCCCTTATAAGAACCTTGTGATTACATTGTGCCCATCTGCCGGAAGCCGGTCCATCCTTGCTGCTTGACACAGTCGCTGCAGGAAAGAAACATCTGCACAGCATATGTTTCAAGGGACCTGGTGTATATGGCATACTGTTCTTAATATGTTTGCTAACCTTCTTGGTGCTATGTGTTTTAACCAAGGTCACCTCTCCGAGAAAGGTTGTTTCCCCAGGTAGGGATTTTCCCCTGAAGTTAGGGAGGGAATAAAGCCCCTTAACTAAGTGCCAGGTGGGTAGTTAATCACTTTAACTACAAACAATCACGCTTAAGCTACATAATCTTTACTCCCTGGAATGGAGATAAGAAACGCCCTAACCTTTGGAATAGAGATTGATAGGATTGGAATCAACTGGTATAAATACAGATGTAACAAGACAACAGGACACAGAACCTAGCGAGAGAACATGGCAAAAGATCCTAGACAGAACCTGGCTACAGAACTTGGCTGGAGAACCTAGACCAGGGATGGGCAAACTTTTTGACTCGAGGGCCACAATGGGTTCTTAAACTGGACCGGAGGGCCGGAACAAAAGCATGGATGGAGTGTTTGTGTGAACTAATATAAATTCAAAGTAAACATCATTACATAAAAGGGTATGGTCTTTTTTTTTTTTAGTTTTATTCATTTCAAACGGGCCGAATCCGGCCCGTGGGCCGTAGTTTGCCCACAGCTGACCTAGACAGAACATGGCAGGAGAATCTGGATAGAACCTGGCGGCAGAACCTGGCTGGAACACCTAGCGAGAGAACATGGCAACAGAACCTGGCTGGAGACCCTGACAAGAGAACCCGGCTATGATGGTCAACTGAATGCAGCCTCTGTGTCATTCACTCTTCGCCGACTCCGTCCACACCTATGGGAACCCCTGGACCTGCTGGGGCTGGACCCCAACACCCATCCAGATCATCTAAGATAATACAGGATCTTTTCCATCTCAAGCTCTTAACTTAATTACATTGCAGAGCCCTTTGCCATGTAAAGAAAAACAGTCACAGGGGATCAGGATGCAAATATCTTTGAGGGGGTATCATTCTCCCTACTCTATAGTGTAAGCAGTTATCTCTTACTATGGTATATAAACTTTTTGTTTATTTTCATTAATTCTCATTGGAGGATATTTTTTCATTGATTTTTAGAGTGAGAGAGACACATTGATGGGCTGCCTCCTGGATCCAGCCTGCAGCATGCCTGCAACTGAGATACATGCCCTTGACCAGAATCAAACCCGGGACGCTTCAGTGTGTGGGCCGATGCTCTATCCACTGAGCCAAACCAGCCAGAGCTACAGTATGGACATTTTAGCAGAAATATCTGGATTGGAGATTTTTAAAAGCCCATTCACTAGATAATTAACAATCCATTTCATCTTGGCTTTGAGGATGGAGCTCCAAGAGCACTTTACCTTTTGGGGTCAAAAAGAACATACTGCTGGAGCACACATTAGAAACTTTAACCACCATCTATATATATAAAAGGCTAATATGCTAAGTTTCTGTTTGATCAGTCACTAGGATGCACACTGACCACCTGGGGCCAGACACTGATGCACACTGGCCATTTACAGAGAAATGGCACTGCTGACAAAGCAACACTTGGCTCCCCCCCCATGGGACACAGGTCCCACTATCACCCCAGAGCAACAGCCCACCAAATCGCAGCCGATGCTGCCAAGACCCGATGGTGCAAAATGTGGCCCACAGCCTAGCCTAGCCCAGAAACAGTGGCTGTGGGCACTGGATAATGACATCACGTAGCAACACCTGGCTTCCTCTCCCTCGCAACAGGCCATTTAACAATAAATGGCACTGTGGACCTGGCACCCACAAAGCAACACTCGGTTTCCCATAAGTGAGACACAGGTCTCACCACCACCCTGAGTGACAGCCCACCAAATTGCAGCCGACGCTGCCAAGACCCCATGGCGCAAAATGTGGCCCACAGCCCAGCCCAGCTCAGAAATGGTGGCTGTGGGCACCGGGTAATGATGTCATGTAGCAATGCCCAGCTTCCTATCCCTAGCAACTAGCCTCCTTAGAGTTTCTTCAGCATAGGAACACGATTTGCTTTATAGCCAGTTGCAAACATTTTACAGTTTAACCAAATGTCTGTGAAGCGTTTTCACGTGCCTCATCTCTGTCGATCCTCACAGAAGTCCTGGAGTAGGTAGATAGGAGACTTGGTAGAATCCTATTTTCTTTTCATTAGCCAGAAAACAGAGATTTAGAAAGTTTAGAAGCTTGACCACACTGAAAAGAAGTAAGAAATGGTGGAACTTGAAAATGACTTCAGGTTTTCTCACTGTGCAGAATATAGTCAAACACTGCTACAGGTAAATATTTCACCCTTTGTTCTCCCTGAGTGATATACAATAATAACCTCCTTCATGTTGATATTTACTGCTGTGTTGATGACAATTACCTAAAAGAGAAGTTGGGGTGCTTCACTAGGCTGGAAAAAGTTTAGCTAAATCAGAAAGCAGGTCTAATTAAACAAGTTTATCTATCTATCTATATATCTCTCTATATATAAAGCTCTTGCTGGTGCCAATCACACACGTGTGTTTCCATCTTTCATTGCTGATCATGAATTTGGTTGACACTTCTATTATAGAGAAAAGGTGAATAGCGATATTAAAATATTTCTTTTAATTAATTTCCTTTCAATGTGCACGATTTCATGCACCGGGTCACTAGTAACAACATAAAGTAACAACATGAAAGTTTAATTATTTTAAAAGTACCTGAAGTCGAGCATTCATAAGCATGAACTCCTGTTGGTTTTTCATGTTTTCGTTCATAGATTTTGAGAATATAAACCCCATCTTGACCTAAATATAAAAAAGCAAAGAGGTTTAAAACAATACATTCTACATGCATCCCTCATGTGCTGTGCCTTGGAATATTGTGAACTTATAACAATGTAAGAATAAAACTCTGACTTGGGAACACAGTGTGGATTCTAATCCTTGCTCTCAACTAACTGTCTGATTGTGGGCAAACTTAACTGGCTTGGCTGTCACTTAGTAAGACCAGCTGATTGAACTAGACAACTTCCAAAATCTTATGCTTTGTAAATATTTGGCTCCATGTTTGCTGATTTTGTTTCCCACTGTAAATCTTGAAGAACTGAATACTTAAAAATAAACATTCAGAAAAATTCTCTGGTTGTGTGTGTGTGTGTGTGTGTGTGTGTGTGTGTGTGAGAGAGAGAGAGAGAGAGAGAGAGAGAGAGAGAGAGAGAATACCGTCTATTTTCTACCTTCTGTATAGTTGGATGAGAGAATCTTTGTTTCTGAAGAGGGGTGATGCAGAAGATGCATCATGCACTTTGAGGACAGATTTGTCTGTGCTCTGTGCATTTGTGTTTTAAGAGGTTTTAAATATCTCAAAGTCACTATATCAGTATTCTTCTTATAATCCCTGCCCCTCTCCTAAACACCCTCTATTTCCAGCCACCCACTCCTAACAGCCCTTGGCCATCCTCCTCAAGTTTCACCTTTGTTCTCTTCAAGCTACTACTGAAGTTCTCAAGGGGGAAAACATAAGGATAATTAAATGTCATGGGAAACTCGGTTTTTAAATGAATATAAGATATTGTCTAATGTGGGCTGTCAATTCTAGGGAGGCCAGAACTCTTAATATTTTGGTCTTAATCCAATTGGGTAGGTACAGAAGACCTTCAGTTTATTTACTTTCAGAATGCAAAACTCAAGGATGTTACAATTGCTCTCCCCTCCTCAACAATGCTGCTGATTCTCTTTGGTGAACTGTTGAGCAGAGGGCCAGTTTTAATGCTTCTACCAGGATTCATAGTATTCTGTGGGAAGCCATTGGAGCTTCTGTTTTCCATATCCCTATCAGGAAATCTTGGGTTCTGGCTAATTGTGGAGAAAAATGGAGAGAGAGCATTTCATGCCAAGTGAAATGAGTTATCTCTGCTGTTAGGGGCCCAGGTGGGTGAGAACTGCAAGCCAGACTTCATTGGCTTTCCTGTACTCAGGCCATAGACACACCCTGGAATTACAGGGGGGCCTCTGGTCCAGAGTCAGTTTTAGTGTTGGGAAGAGGCCAGTTATTCACCAGAAAGTAGAAGCACAGCCCTGAGAGGTCATGAGGTTTCCCTCCTGCTCTACCACTGCCCCAACTCCATTCTGTGACCAGAATTGGAGGCCACCCATTGAGAGTGGGGAGATCTAGCATAAATTCTCTCATTCCTGCAAATTCTGACAGTCCCATGTCAATGGTCTCCAATAGCAGACCAGAAATTGCCTGAAGGCAGAAGCAATGTATTATCCATCTTGGCAGTCTCCATGGTGTCTCTTTCCCATAAAAGTTTGCAGAAAGTAATGAATGACACTAGAGAAAGGTTGGCTCAGGTCACTTGCCATTTCTTACTTTTCTTCTGCATATAGGAGTGGATAATTGAAAATTTACATATGTTGCAAACATTTCTAAAGAAAACAATTGTCCCCTAATCCTATTCTTACACATAGTATGTCACAGAGCTATGTCTCTTACAGTGCTATTTATTAAGGGGTGGGATCTCCCTTGAAATACAGGAAGAGTCTGTATATCAGCCATCTAGGGAAAAGAAACTATGTGGAAAGTTAGGATTTAAGTTTACCTCTTTCTGGGCCTTGCTCTCTTGGGTCTAGATAGATTGTAGTTTGAATGTGTTAGGCAACGTTCCCAAGGGTCAAAGCTAGAAGCAAACCCAGGAGAAGAGCTTCCCTGTGGTCCTCAGGGGAGATCACACCTGGAAACAAGGGCACCACACCTTGTAAACTACATCTTGGAGTTCAGTATTTTCAACTTTTCCCACATTTTCCAATGTCTGGAAGGTGTTCATAATACTCTCATTCTTCTCTCATATATATATGTATATGTATGTTTCAGAGAGAACAGAAGAAGGTGAGAGAGATAGAAACATCAATAATGAGAGAGAATCGATTGGCTGCCTCCTGCAAGCCCCACACTGGGGATCACCTACAACCTGGCATGTGCCATGATTGGGAATCGAACTGTGACCTCCTGGTTCATAGGTCAACGCTCAACCACTGAGCCACACCAGCTGGACTCACAAAATATTAGTAAAATGATGACTATCGTTCATACTGCTGTATGATACATAAGAACGTTAAGAGAATAAATCCTAATAGTTCTCATCACAAGAAGGAAAAAGTTTTTTCTTTCTTCTTACTGTATCTACATGATAGGTATTAGCTGAACCTGTTGTGGTTATCATTTCACAATATATGTAAGTCCAACCATCATGCTGTATATCTTAAACTTAGACAATGATGTATGTCAATTATTTGTCAGTAAAACTGGGGAAAGAAAATAAGCAAGAGCGATCTTCCAATAGGAATAACTGAATTCACTCAGTTGTATAAGTAAGCCTTTCAAAAATTCCAACACTTACCATTGGTGACAAATTTCTTGATACTTAAAATTTAGAGACCAGTGTGTCTCAGAGGACTGAGAATGCTGATTTGAGTTCTTAATGACTGCATTTTTCCTTTGATTACGCCTGAAACCTTAAAGTGGGCTCTTTGATACTCCAGCCCAGTGTCAGGTGTGCTATAGATTACAATGGGAAGGGATATTTCTGAGGAGTGTTGAGGCTGCTATTTACAGGCACCGCTGGGAACATGCATTTAATTCTCCTTTTTTTTTTTTAAAGGATAATCCCGTAACCCACGACCTCTGTCATCCAAATTTCTGCGCTGACTCACTTCCTGATCGAATTACACATAACCTACATTTATGACTGGTTGCATAATTACAATCATTTTCAATAAGTCGTTGCGTTCCGTTCACATTAGTCCACTTCCCCTGCAAATTCCAGCCCTTAACCTACAACTTCCGGAGGGTTTCCCTAATTTAACTCCACCCGCCCTGATGACAATAACCTGGGTATTTCCTGAATGGTATGCTGATTTCCGTGGATAGTGCTCTGAATACTTTCCCAGTTTGATTACAAGGTTACGGGAAAGGCCCGGAGTCCTATCGACAGGAAGGGATTCTTTCCGAAACCAGTAGGAGACCTTCTCCACTGGGAGCAGGAAGGGAGCCAAGGGCGGGCGCACACTAGGAGCGAGAGCGCCGCGCGGGCCTGCACGCCGAGCCCGGCAGCTCAGCGTCGGAGGACGTGGACCCGCGCTCTCCACCCACCTGTGGCCGGCCGGGTCCCGCAAGGCTGGTGCTCAATCACTAGGCAGCGGGCAGTGGAGGAGCGGGGCAAGGTAAAGGCCGCAGAGACATTCAGGTTTCCGGTCCCCTAGTCCGCGCCAAGAACCGGGTTTCGCCTCGCGGATTGGCTAGCCGTGACAGTGTATTCCAACCCCTCAGCCAGTCAGCGCAGCCCTTGCCTTTAAAGGGCCCACGCGCCCGACCTAGGCCGGCTGTGTTCTACACTTGGCACCTGGAAGGGGCAGGTCGAAGAGGCAAATTCAAAACCCCAGCGACTGAGCTGTCAGATTTTGAGGGGAGGCAGAGGACGCAGAGTGACAGTCTCACTTAAAAGCTTCAAGTGAACTTTGTCAGTAACCCTGTTAACAAAGTTCAAGTGAACTTTGTCAGTACATGAGAATCCATGCTCCTGTGCCCTGCTAAGCCTCGATAGACTTTAATGAGCTGTTTTACTGTTATTCTCTAGAAATGGTATCAACCACCACTGTTGGTTCTGTTTCCAGAAAGAGAATGTATCTTGTGAGAGGTTGTCACTTAAACATATAATCCTTATAAACATTTTTAAGGGCTTTTCTACTGGCAGAATAGATTTAATGTTGAGGATGGACAGGAAGCCAGAGAAAGAAGGAGACAGGTGGGTGCAGTCTATAGAGGCAAGCCTCCTAGGGACAAAGACTGACAGGACAAATGGAAAATATCAAGCACACCTCTTTTACAACCTTGGGTTTATCATTTTTGGAAGTCCTAGTTCAAAGGAAAGAAATGCTACCACTTGAGGACACAGCCATGGTTCTATTGAATAGAAAGCTGAAATTGCCCCTGATTATTTTGGTTCCTCATAGTGATAGAATTGGGATGACTGATCCCAATGACTAAGAGGAAATTGGGTTGCAGCTATACAATGAAGGGAAGGGGAACTGTGCATGACCCCCAGAGATTCACTGGACCCATCTTATTCCTCCCATCTACAATAATGATGCTCATTAGATAACTGCAGTAACCTGATAAAGTCAGGACCACTTAAATTTCAGACCATGCAAAAATTAAAGTGTAAAAAAATCCTGATTTACCACGGTAGTGCATAAGGCAAGGGAAACATACGTGAATAAAGTAGGAAGCTTTGATTCTCATTTTTAACTTAGCGACAAGTTGTAGAGGCAGGGATTATTGTAGCTCTGCATACAAAATGTTAACTGGTTATAACCTCCCTGGCCCCTCTTTCCCTGTTACTTTGCATGAAGTGTACTGGTGGAAACAAATGTTATAATTTAGTTTCTAGACTACACCCAAACTGACATCACCTCAAAGCAATTTGATGATTGGTAGGAGTCTGTGATTCTCATGTGCAGGGGATGAACTTCTCTTCATTTGAGCAAAGGGCAAGAATAAATCTGGGGTGAGAAAAACAAGTAGACTATCTGGGTTTTCTCTTTGTCTACCCTCATATTTACTCATTTTTATTTTTCTCCCTCCTCTGCCCTATTCTTTACCCCAGAAGCTGACCTTTTTGGAAAGCATCACCTGGGCTCTTAGCTGGGTTTAAACAATGGAGGCATCAGGAAATTGGAGGCAGGAGGAAACAGAGGTAGGATATGTTTTATCCATTCTTTCTCTGTTTCGGTGTAAGGATCTGGCGGTGGCTGTGTCTCTCCACAGCTGCAGCTCTTGGCCAGAGGTCTCTCCTCCATGGCTCCAGCTCACACACGTGCCCTTGACCCTGATCAAACCTGTGACCCTTTGGCTCTAACCACTGAGCAATCGGCCAGGGCATCCTCCCTTGCTCTTTAGTCTAAAAATGGTATGGGCTTCCCGCTGTTGCACCAAGACTCTCAAATTGATGGTTCTTAACTTCATCTTGATGGTTGGGGTGCCTCAGCTGGATGATTCTCTCAACCTTACCACACCCCTTTAAATAGTGTCTACATTAATATCTCTTTACTACATTAATATCTCTTTAGTCAAACCAACTGAGTATAATTCTGATTCCTGATTGAAACCCAATGGATACACTTTAAACTGTATGCATACATTATAAATACTCTTGTATGTATATGTTCACAATTTTGAAATATAAGTGAAAAAGTGACTATGAGTATATATACCCTGGTAATTTATATATATATATATATATATATATATATATATATATATATATAGCACATTTTTTAGAATGTAGGGCAAGAGGATTAAAAGAATTTATTTCAAATCAGATGAATATAACTTTAGCTGGTATATGCATTATTTCTAATTGTATAAATGTGTGTGTGTATATATGTTTTTACACACATGTACAAATAGTTGCTTTTAAAAAATCATTTTGCATTATAGCATAAGGATTTTCATGTTAAATAGCATTCATGCGTGTCATTTTTAACAGGTGTCAGATTTCCCAGAAGTATGTATACAATTCCCATTGTTGGATATTTCTGATTTCTTTTTTGCTATTGTCAATAGTATCATGATGACCATCTTCATATATATATATGAAGCTTTATATATATATATATAGCTTTTATATATATATATATATAGAGAGAGAGAGAGCTTTTATATATATATATAGCTTTTTAATATTTCGATTGGAAATACTGGGTTAAATAATATAAATATTTTAGAATTGATGTAAAATCCTCGACTCATTGAAAGTCTCCTATTCCAGGAAAAGAAAATTACTCAATATTTCCCTTTATATCCATAAAGTACTTCTTTAAAAAAACAAAGTTTTTGAAAGTTTAAGACATGCTTAGAGGTATTTCTTCTTAACAGAGATGCTTTTTCAAAGAGTGTGACTATCTCCATTAATATGGGAACCAGGATTAGCCAGAAACCTCAGTCTGTTTTGGAAGGCAAGTAGTTGCACAGTGTGTGGAACTGAGGCTAGAAGATCTTCAATTAAGCTTTTCTGGAATGGTGTTTCCCATGCTCTGGGGAACATGGACTGAATTTTAACCTTACACTTCAATCATGGAGCACACCTGTAGCCTGGACATGGTCTGAGCTGGCAAAGCATTACTGAGCTTTATACAAACCTTGTCTGGACTTTGTCCATTCCTCAGCAGTGACGCCAAGTGGCAGTGTAATATAATGGCAACAGTGGACAGGAGATCTTGTTTATTAAAATACATTTCATTTTCAAAATTGAGCTATTAGGTGTTACAGTGTGTATACATTTTTTGGGACACCCTGTATATTGTCCTTGGTTTTAATATGGAACTGTATATTAAAATATATACAGGGTGGGGCAAAAGTAAGTTTAAAGTTATTCATATGGAAAATAATACAATAATTAATAAGTAATAATATAAGAATAAACTCTTTCACATACTCACAATTGTAAACCTACTTTTGCCCCACCCTGTATACCATCCTTGATTCCCTTTTCTCCCTTACTTCTAATATCCATCAATAAATTCTGTAAGTTCTACTTCCAAAATGTGGTTTACAGCAACAGCTCCTAAAGGTCTCCAAGCTTCCTTGCTGGTCCCTCTACACTCTAGTCTTTAGACCACAGTTAGAGTGACATTTTCAGAACATTTATCAAGTAACTCCCCTGCTTTACCTCATCCAGTGACTTTCCATTGCAATTGGAATCAACCTCTTCCCTTGGTTTACAAGGACCTTCAGGATATGATCTGATCCACCACTGCTCCCTTCACTCTCCATTCCAGACACAATGACCTTCCAACTTTGTTCCATCCTTATGATTCCTCTGCCAGGAATGCTCTTCCTGTAGATCTTTGCATGGTTGTCTTCATAACTCATGTCTCAAATAACACCTCTTAGAGAAGCCTTCCCTGGCTACCATAACTAAAGGAGCCTCACATCCAGGCATTCTGCAATATTGGGCCACCAATATTTTTTCTTTTTTCAAATAGGACTTTTTAATATCTGAAATTTTAGTTTATTAGTTTATGTTTGGAATCTCTCTTGAAACTAAGAAAGGATATCCTAAGAAAGGATATTTCTTATTATCTTTTCAGAAAAAGTAGGGGAAAAGAAAAAACTACTCATTCTTTTATGATAGGTCTATAGTCATGAAAGGCAAATTGATTAGGTTGACGATCCTGTTAACCCAGGTGTGACTACAATTGGTTTTGAATAACCACTTACTCATAGCAGAAAACAAAACCCAGTTGTTCCCTTCAAAGCAGGAGTTTTGAACACTTTTAGACCTAGAACTCATATTGTTCTTGGTTTAAAACAATCTCTGGAGGCAATTCCACAAGAGCCATTGAACTTACTCATGTCCTTAAACCAAGTGAAGTGACTCACAAGGGGACTGTCATTTCTACAACATTCAGTTAGGTTATTTAGTTCTAGGATATAAAATCAATAAAACATTTCCCTTTATCCCCTGAAAAGATATCTCTACTTTTCATGGCCTTCAATTCATTTATTGAGATTCCTTAAAATTAAATTATTTACCATACAATGTTCCCAAGTTCCCACAGCATTTACCCAAGGCATCCTAGATAATAAAAGCCCAGCAACCAAATGGCGGAACAACCAGAACGACCACTCGACTAGTCACTATGCCGCATACCGACCACCAGGGGGCAGATGCTCAATGTAGGAGCTGCCCCATGGTGGTCTGGTGGTCTCTGCTGACTGGGATGCGTGGCACTCCCACAGTGGGCTGATCCCCGCAGGCCACGCCCCCCACCAGTGCATGAATCCCGTGCACCAGGTCTCTAGTAATTATATATTTATGTCTGGGTTTGTAAATTCCTTGAGGACAGGGAACATTGTTGGAGGCCTCATCTTTATATTAAAGTATGCACAGCATGGGAGCTGCCTTTTGAAGGCAAGAACTCTTTCCCTGGCCAGCTCTTGCCCAGCTCAGCATAGGAAGGAAGGAGACAAATACGGGGTAAGTGAGCATGGGTGTCAAGTGATGACAGCTGCTGCCCCCTGGCCATCCACACATGTTAATTACTTCTGTATTTTAAACAGTTGTATAACCAGGGCAAAGTGTTCTGCTCAATGAAGTCTGTTTAGCACCAATCTATGGGGTATGAATAGATGGCAAAGATGGAGGCAACAAAAGGTGGGCAGAGGTAGAGTGAAGGGTGGTATTGATATTAATCAACCAAATTAGATGGAGGAAAGGAAGTTATAACTGTACTTTCAAAGAACACTTGATTTAATTTTCCTCCCTTAAACATTATACAATCAGTATTTAAAATTTCAGTGTGCACATGAATCACCTCAGGTTGATGTTGAAATGTAGACTCCTAGGATCACTCTTCAGAGAACTGGATTCAACAGGTCTGTGTTCAAGCCCTGAAATCTGTATTTAAACACTCAGCTCAAGTTAACTGTGATGCAAGTGACCCTCAGAAACAGGACATTGGCAGTGATGAGATTTACCCTTAAAAATGAACAAATTAAGAGGGTCATACTGGGAAATAGCAATACTGGATATAATCAGGGTGTCTGCTCTTCTCCTATCTCAGCACTTGTCCATCCACTTCACCCAAATCATAAAACCTACACAGGGTTTTGGGACTGATGCCCCCCAACACCTCAGCTGTTTGGATTTTCATATATTTTTAAGTGATAAAATCTTTTTTCTAAACATATCCTGTTTTCCTAACTCCAGAGTACCTATATTAAGAAGCTTGATAAACTCTATGGAATATGAATGGCTGAAGGATGGAAACAGGTGGGCCAGATGAACAAGATCACAAGTCCTCAGATTACTAATATGTTAATCACTGAGCCCCAAGATGAGCAACACCTTCCGTTCCTATCAACAACTTCAGAGAAAAATCAATTCTATTTGTCTCCTAATTTTCCTATTGATCATATGTACACTTTGAACACTGCTTGGGTAAAACAAAAAAGCCTGACCAGCATAGGTCAGTGGTTGAGCATCGACCTATGAACCAGGAGGTCACGGATTCTATTCCCAGTCAGAGCACATACCTGGGTTGTGGGCTTGATCCCCATTGGAGGGCGTGCAGGAGACAGCTAATCAATGACTGTCTCTCATCATTGATGTTTCTATCTCTTCCTCTCCCTTCCTCTCTGAAATCAATAAAAAATTTTTAAAAAATAAAAGAATGCGCTCTTAAAAAACAAACTAAACATCCCCTACACACACACACACACACACAGTTTTATGTTTTTTTAAAAATTTATTGAGAGAGAAAGAAACATTAATTTGTTGTCCCACTTATTTATGCATTCATTGGTTGATTCTTGTATGTGCCCTGATGAGAGATCAAACCTGACATCTTGGAGGGCCTATCAGGACTACACTAACTGAGCTACCAGGCTAGGGCTCCCCGCCCAGTTTTAAAAATCATTCATAGGTCATAGAGGCTATCTAAGAGGAAATTACTTAATCCTGACTACTCAGTAAATTATTTGCCCAAGATTTCTCCGCTAGTTAGTGGTAGGTGACACTAGAGTTGGTTTTTTCTGACTTGATAGGCATGACCACACTAGCAGGTCATGAAATATATGTTTTGGGGTCTTGATGGCCATTTAAAGAAAAATGAAACATTAAATAGAAAATATCAGAGGAACTAAATTTGGAAAAATACTGCTGTATTCCACTACGTGGCCTCAACAAGAGATTTGCAAGAGGGAGCATTTTGAGCTTAATCTCCAAGTCTATTACGATTTTATTAAGGCTAAAGAGAATTTCACATTCCCCACCAGATTTTTTAAAATCCTCACTGAGGATATGTTTATTGATTTTTTTAGAGAAAGAGGAAGAGGTGTGTGGCCCCTGGGGGGGGGGGGGAGTGCGGGGAGTGTTGGGGGGGGAGAGGGGAGGAGAGAGAGGGAGGGAGAGAGAGAGAGAGAGAGAGAGAAAGAGAGAGAGAGAGGAGAGAGATTAATTAGTTGCAGGTATGTGTCCTGTCTGAGGATCAAACCCTCAACCTTTTGGTGTGCAGGACCATGCTCCAACCAACTGAGCCACTGGCCAGGGCTCCCCACCAGATTTTTAAGGAAATATAATTCTCAGTAGTTTTCCAAATTAAAAATAAATATGTGCTATTCTGAGAATGTGGAAATTCTTACTTGGGAAGGAAATGCCATAACCAAGCCAATGGACATCTCAGTATTCATTCATTGTACGGTATTTTGAATTGCATTTGAAATGAATAAGTAGGAAAAGCAAACCATGAAGAGTTCAATATATCAGTTTAAAAATTGCAAAGTTTATAAAGGAAGATGTGAGGAGGAAAGGAGAAAGAGCGGCAAGCACCTAAAAGTCTAAGGTGGTGAATGCTTGAGTAAATTATGCCACCACCTTCTGAGTGAGTCACATGGTTTCAGCTTGGGCTCATCTGATCAGTTACCAGAAGGATCTTCTTAGCCCCACCTAAAACATGCTCCCCCAACCCGAATAGCAAGACAGCAGTGATCCCAGAGCATTCTTAAAAATTGTAAGTCATGATGGGAAATTCTTTTAATGACGAGGCAATTGAAGTTTCATTATGTCGAGGAACTCTGAGGAAGTATCACAATACAAAATTTAAAAATATATTTCCTATTATACACACACACCCACTTTCTAGAATAAAAATCAAAGTCATATTGGCCTGTCCTCTCACTTTGTATATGTTGCAGAATTATGTCAAGTTGTTCCGTTTTCTTGTAAAAGCTTTTTTGTCGAAAAGGGGGCAACCTGATGGCAGAATTTAAAGTGCCTGGATTCTGAAGCCGAAACCAACTGAACCTTTGTGATGATTTCAGGCGTCGGTTTGTTTTATACCTTTTTTTAAAACATTGGATTTGAAACATGAAGCTTTCCTTTTTAAAGGCTGATTTATGGGAAACCTCAGTGGTAAGTTTCATTTTTGGTTTCACGCGTATATATTTCCAAGGAAGAAGGACCCGCAGTTTTCGCTGTAGAGAAGTCTGAGCGGAACTCTCTGCAGCAGAGGGCGGGGACTCCACCCTCCGAGAGCCTTTAACGTGCCGCCCTCCGCTAGTTCTACAGGCAGTCCCTGGCGCAGCGCCCGCGGCAGGTAGGGAGCGTGCTATCCCCGCAAGTGGCTCACTGGCCAGGATCTCTGGCCATCTCGCTTGGCTTTTTTAAAATGTATGGTCCATGGTCTCCTCTATTTGAGATGAAGAGAGAAGGGAAAGGAAAGCTGGAGGGTTGGGGGGGAGTGGGGAGGGAGGGGAGTGGGATGGGCAATAGAGCCAATTACTTGTCAAGGTTAATTAGAACAGGTAACACGTTTGGCCTGTCCCTAGGCAGGATCCAGTTATGCTTAATGTCAATCTTGTAAGTGTGTGTTTCTGTGAGTTTATAAATATGGTCCTGAGGTTGGTAGAGGGTCTATTGGAATATTTCTGGGCTGGAAATCCATCCTCAGCCACTCACTAGCAGTATGCTGTGGATAAGTCAGCACACCTGCGGCATCTCCCTAAGGTCCTTTCCTGTGGTAAGACTCAGGATTCTGGAACCTGAGTTCTTTGCCCTATTTGCTCTGGGGACTTAAAAGAAATCCTGAAGGAGGAAGAAAGGGGTAAGAAGGGGGTGAGTTAAAACATTTCTTAGACACATTGACCGTGGTTTATGTCAAGAATAGTTTGGGTTTGTTTTATAACACAGGGAGTACTTCAAGTACCATTGTTCCATCTTGGTTTTTGCACCTAAAATAAATATATAGACAAACTGTGGATGATTTTCTATGGATTAAATAGCCTTGTAAATGTGATTTCTTTTTAAATGGCTATATTCCATGGTGCTGGATAACCAAACAGAAATAATCCCCCATGTTGGGCAAAAGATTATTTATAGTTACAGTGATTTACTATTTTAGCCATTCACTGGACATTTTTGCTCTCTGGGACATAGCTGATTATTTCCTTCAGGTAAACTCATAGAAGCATAATTACTTAGCCAAAGAGTCTGAATATTTTAAAGGCCTTTTGATTAAATGATGATGGAAGGAGACTTGACTTTGGGTGGTGAACACGGTACATTGTGAATTATATACCTGAAACTATATAATTTTATTAACCAATGTCACCCCAATAAATTCAATAGTAAATAAATGAAATGAAAATTGCCTTCCAGAAAGATTGTGTCAGTTCACATTGACAGTTGCTAGCAGATTTTAAAGAACTATGATACTTTGAAGAAAAAAATAGCTTTTTTCAGTGGAAGAAGGTAGTAGAGGTTATAGGACAACAATTAGTGTATAGTTATAAAGAAAGCCATAGATAGACTGTGGGGAATTGAAGCAAGACCTGGGAAATGTACAAGTGTGTTGTAGGGTCACTGAAGGGAAGGCCACTGATCAACTCTCTTGATCTATTAATGAGGTGAGTTTTCAGTTCATTTGGAGATACATTATCAAATTCTAAGAACTTTTAAAAATCATATACATTGGGTAAAAATCAAAGGAAACCCTAAACCAACATATATCATTCTATACTCCTACTTTTGAGAAATAAAGCTTGAATTCTTTCCCTATCTTTTCCTCCTATCCATTCTGCCATGGGAGGTAGAGAAGTAGTATCAGTTCCATAGTATTATGCTGGGTTCTCCCAGGGACAAACCTGCTTCCCCATCCTGAATGAACCATTACTTATCCTCTAATTCACATTTCCTTGGTCTTTGAACACATCAGTTCTTGTATGGGACTTCACCCATTGGCAAAATTTAGTTGTAATCCATGAGTAGATATAATGTCCCTCTGATTTATTCAACGGTTCTTTGCTTGGAGTCTTAAGTTTTCTTCTGCCCAATAAGTGCATTTTTTGTTTATAATAGTGCATTTGTATTTCATAATTGTAGTATATCAACTCTGGCCCAAGGAAGGACAGTCAGATAACTATCATACAGCAGCCTCATTTCAACAGCCTTTATGTTCTCAAGGCCTGAATGCCATCTCTTTCCCATCTACAGTGCAGATGGTAAGGAGATAAATAAGAATTATGCACCTCACACTAGCAAGAGAACAACGACTCATTTTATTTTACCCTTTTTGTATATGTATATGAACATGAAGGATCATATAGGTTGTTAGAGAGGTGAAAACTGACCTATCCTTCCTCTAATTTCACTCCTGGAGATAATCACTGTCAGCATCTTGATATGGCTTATTCTGGAATCTATGTTTAAACACACACACAGATTTTTAAGTGTCTACCACATACACAGTTCTGCGACTTACTTTTTACATCTCTGCACAATCAATACATGTACATGTACTTAATTCTGTCCTTAATGCTATTACATTGTAGGACTATACCAAAATTTATTTGACCACTTAGATTATCTAGAGCATTCCCAGTTTTGGGCTAATATTAGCAATGCTATTCCCTTTACATATATTCTTGTATGCATGTGTTTTTGTTTTTGTAGGGTATATTTCTAGAAGAGGAAGGGAAAGCTAATATGACATTTACATTTAAATTTTTAATGTTTAAAATTGCTTTCCATAAGAAGGTTACATAACTTCCTATTCCTTCCTACCATTAGAGGGTGAGAGGTTCATATCCTCAAAAAACACTAAATATTAGGAATCTTTGTAATTTTGGTCAAGCTAATAAGTGAAAAATGGTATCTTATGTTTTAATTTTATGCTTTTTAAAAAATTGGTGAGATTGAGTATTCTTTTGTTTAAATATCATTTGCATTTCTTATACTCTGAACTGTATGTTAGAACCTTTTGTTCATTTTCCTGTTTTTATTTCTTAGTGATTTTTAGGAGCAATCTATATATTAGGGGCATTAATTTTCTGCCTTATATATGTGTCACATTGATTAGTGGGTTATTGTGAGTTTTTATATGTATGCAGAGGTCAAAGACACCCTAAGAGGAAAACTGACTTTCTTCTCAAAGTGTATAAATGTATGTATAACACCATAGAGAAGCTATTTTATTAAGTAAACAGCTGGGGTGAAATTCAGTACAAATCTTCTTGAATATAAGTTCCAAGAGTGGAATAAGTTTCCTTTTCTGTTCACTGATATATCCCCAGTCCCTAAAATAGTGCCTGGCACAGAGGAGCTGCTCTGTCAATGTTTGCTGAGAAAAAATTGGGAGAATTTCAGGCAGGAAGACAAAATGAAGAATAGGCTCTAGGCAGATACTCTTCAGAGTGGCTGTAAGACATTTACATCTTCGTATGAATCAGTCAAATACAACTGTTTCTACTTTTCACTTCCCCTGCTACTAGTGGAATCAATTTATTGCACGGATAGGTTATATTATCTAGAATAAATAAAAGGCAGAAGAGGAGATTTATGAAGGATGGCACCTGGGGGCGAGCTGGCATGGTTGGAGTAGTGGTGTGGAAGGCTTGAATAGTTAATTAAAGGGTATGATGAAAGTATTCAGCTGCTGGAGGGAGTAGGGCAATGGTTCTCAACCTTCTGGCCCTTTAAATACAGTTCCTCATGTTGTGACCCAGCCATAAAATTATTTGTGTTGCTACTTCATAACTGTAATGTTGCTACTGTTATGAATTGTAATGTAAATATCTGATATGCAGGATGGTCTTAGGCAACCCCTGTGAAAGGGTCGTTCGACCGCCAAAGGGGTCGCGACCCACAGGTTGAGAACCACTGGAGCAGGGGAAGAAAAGAAGCATTGAGAGGTGGGATGATATGGAAATGAGATTCTCCTGGCTTTGACATTTGCACAGGGCAGGTTTAGATTTCTAGATATGTTATACTGTAGAAAAACACACATGAAATAATGGAGAGTATTTCGGTGCAATATTGTCTTCTTGGCTTCTTTTGAGTGTACATTATATGTTTTTTTCGAGGCTTGTAATTAAATTTTAAAATCCTAATCACAGTAGCTTTTCTTAAAATTTGCCTTTAAACGGCTCGGGGATATTAAGTGATAGTATTGAATTTCTAAATTTCCTGCTGCATTTCTACACTTACAAGTCAGTCATTGTCTAGTTATCTGAAGACTATTTCAATTAGAACTGCCAAGTCTCATAATGTCTGGGTATTGAATTATTGAATAAAGCAGTTTCCTTCTTGTGTTTTCTATAATTAGGTAATTTCAGAAAAATGAGGATACTTGGTAGCTTTACACTCATGGCCTACTGTCATTTGTTGAAAGGTAAGACACCAAGTAAGGATTTGTCATATAGTTTAAATATTTTAACCATAACTTAAAGACTAAAATAAATTTAAATGAATATAATTTTTAATAGAGAGGACATTCTATTTTTCCTTCTTTATTTCATAAACATATTTCATAATCTCTTATCATTGGACAAAGATTTAGGAAACACAGACAAATCAAAAAACAAAATTAACTCATTATCCATTATGCATTGTTCATTTCTTAGGTATATTTACTGAAAATATCTGGGGAAATAGTCTATGATGTTTGTTTTAAACAACAAAAGGATCATTTTATCCACCTTGCTTGGTGACATGCTGTTCCCTGAAGAATTTTGGAAAGTGTCAGGGTAACAACAGTACTGGAATTTTCCTAAGACCCTCCCCAAATCTTCAGACTCATATACCTCAGGCCAGACAACTGATCAAGAGTTAGGACTACAATCATGTGCTGCTTAAAGATGATTTGGTCAATGATGGACTGGACTGTATGTACCACTGTGGTCCCTTGGATTATAATGGAGCTGAAAAATTCCTATAACCTAGTAATATTGTAGCCATCATAATGTCCCAGTGTAATGCATTACTCACTTGTGTGTGGTGAGATTGGTATAAAAAAAACCTATTCTACTGGTAGTCGTATAAAAGTAGAGCACAAACAATTATGTAGAGTACATAATACTTGATACTTTTAATAAATGACTATTACTGGTTTATGTATTTACTATGCTATACTTTTTATTGTTATTTTAGAAGACTCTTTCTACTTATAAAAAAAGGTTTGTTTCTAAACATTATGCCATGTTAGGCCAATAGCAGCCTCATACATCCTGTGTTTATGTCTTTTGATTGCATTATTTTCACTTGTGCTTGATTTAATCTCATGTTATTTTGTACAGTAAAATGTCATGCAGGCTTGTAGCATAGGAGCAATAGGCTATATCATATAGCCTAGATATGTAGTAGGCTATACCATCTAGGTATGTGTCAGTGCACTCTATGGCATTTGCACAACAGCAGGGTCACCTAACAATGCATTTCTCAGAATGTATTCCCATTGTTAAGCAGTGCATGACTGTATTGGAATCTGCCATTCAGACTACCCAGAAGGCAAATATGTGTCCAGTAAAAGGACATTCTGGGGATGTCCACATGAGACAAAGTCTTCAGTTTTAAGTACCCCATCACCATATAGTATTTCCATGGTAATGTATGTTTATGAATTTTGGGACAACTTGTTTAGCTAATTTTATTATTTTTATCTCAAAGATGAAATATAGCATCCCAAAATGCATTTCAAACCCACCAGATAAAATACGTATTTTAAGCAAGTTCCTAAACATAATTATCACATAAGTGACCAAGTAAAATGTTTGTAAACTATGTGCTCATTATGTGAAATTTTTAAGAAATTTTCCATGTTCTGAAGATTAGTTATTTTTCTTTTCAGCATTTACTATCACAGTTACCCAGGACCTATATGTGGTAGAGTATGGCAGTAATGTGACAATGGAATGCAAATTCCCAGTAACAACACCGTTAAACCTGCATGTATTAGTTGTCTATTGGGAAATGGGAGAAAAGAAAGTTATTCAATTTGTAAATGGGAAGGAAGACCTGAAAGTTCAACACAGTAGCTACAGCCAAAGGGCCCATCTGCTGAAAGACCAGCTCATTTTGGGAAAGGCTGCACTTCAGATCACTGATGTGAAACTGCAGGATGCCGGGGTTTACCACTGCTTGATCAGCTATGGTGGCGCCGACTACAAGCGGATTACTTTGAAAGTCAATGGTAAGAATTATTATAGGTAAAGAGGCCCAACCTTTATTAAAATCATATCAGCGATGAGAACTTTTCATTCTTGAAAGTCCTCTATTACTCTCCACAGGAGCAATCTGTTCATTCATTCATTCACACACCCATCCAATAAGCATTTCTTTTTCCTTTTTAATTTCCTTTTTAATTTCACCCAAGGACATGTTTTACTGATTTTAGAGAGAGGGGAATGGAGAGAGATAGAGATAGAAACATCAATGTATGAGAGAAATATCAATTGATTGCCTCCCATGCACACCCCCACAGGAATCAACCCACCATTTTCAGTGTGTCCTGACCAGTAATGGAACCGACAACCCTTTGATGTACTGGATGACACTCCAACCAGCTAAGCCATACTAGCCAGGGCCCAATGAGCATTTCTTGAGCCCCTCCTACTTGACAGTCCCTAGAGATCCAGAGCCAAACATGTCAGAGCCATGTTCCATAGAATGTTCAGTTTTCCTAAAATAAATTCTCAGTTTTTACTTTGCTATTATTATAAAAGCAATACATACTATGGAAGGAAATAAAATGAATTACAGAAATGTCCCTCCACCCTTCACCACCATCTTCCATGACATGCAGAAATAACCAGGTAACCACTATTTGTGTGTTTTCTCCAGGATTTTTTTTTTTAAATTCAACTACTATTTTTATTTTATTAGGTCTGCCAGCATTTTCCTTCCTTTGAACCTCTCTATGCCATACTTAACTAAAACAAATGTTAAAAACAAATTTCGCTATAAGGTGCACATTTTAAAAGAATTGAAATCATTTTATGAAGGCAAACTATAATTACATCAAGAATAGAGAAAACTATTCTTCCTTAGAGATGGTATAAACTATGCTCACTGGGCATTCATCTTGAAAAATCTATACCAGCATTATCTTGGAGTGTTAAAGACGAACTGTGAGTGACAAATCCCTGAGTTCTGAACCACAAATATGTCATCAGGTCACCTGGGTTCAAAGTTTGGTAAAGGAAAACACCTTAGCTGACCACCTCTGCTTTCACAGTTAAGATTCCTAGAATTGAAAGCTGAAAGGATCCCAGGCAAGAGCAGCTAGCCCAAATTCCCAAGGAACAGAAATTCCCCAAAGGGTCTTCTGCTCACATACTTCCCACAATTGTTGAAATTACTTTCTGGTATTGAGCTGAAATCTGCCCTATTTACTTACAGTTTTGAAATTATGTGCCTACTTTTTTTTTCACCTTTTAATGTGACTAGAATTAAATCATCATCTCTTGGTATTTCCATTCCTAGGATAACTATGATTAATCTGAAGGTCAATAAATAGGAAAAGTTTGAATTTATCATAAAGGGATAACTGGTCATTATCTCAAAGTCAAAATTATATAAGAATTAGGAGAAATGCACCTGTTTTATGGTATATTACTGGGTCACTGATTCTGGCTCAATTAATGTCAAGAAGATGCCACTCGTGAAGTAGGTTAAATGTTCATTGCATTTTACCATATGCTTCTCTAGAACAGTGATATTCATGAAAATAGAATAGTGGGATTTCAAGTGGGATTTTTAATTTTTCTTCAGTCCATCAGCAAATATCAGGCACTTTACTGTGTTTCTATGCATGAAAGAAATTATTAAGATGTCATCCTATAAACAGCCAGGAATCTGGAATAGGAAGAAGAGCATAAGCCTGGCAGTCAGGTAGAAGTATAGAGTGTAAGTCTCTCGTTAGCCTGCAGGTCCTATGCAGAGTGGGACAGCTGTCTCTGCAGTGAGGAAGGGTGTTCTTCCAGGTCACCTGAGCTCTGTACTATCTCCTGTGGAGCTACAATTCCCTCTCCTATGGTTTGACACAATAGGAAATCTATGGGTCGGATAGTTTTTCCAAGGCGGGGCCCTTGGTGGAGTACTGTAGATGACCAACATCTGATTTGCTTGACTATTCTATTTTGTGTTATAAATTACCAAATTGGCATCCTACTCCCCATCCATCTTGTTGTCATATCGTAGTTTTAGGGGTTAAATTGAGCTGCACTGAGAGCAAGCCAGCCACCAAATTTCAGCTGAGGCTGAATCACTAATAGAAGTTTGATGTCCAGGTTACTTGAGCTACATAATTCAAGGAAGTAGAGCTCCTGAGTCAGCGGTTCTCAACCTGTAGGTCGCGACCCCTTTGGTGGTCGAACGACCCTTTCACAGGGGTCGCCTAAGACCATCCTGCATATCAGATATTTACGTTACAATTCATAACAATAGCAACATTACAGTTATGAAGTAGCAACATAAATAATTTTATGGCTGGGTCACAACATGAGGAACTGTATTTAAAGGGGCAGAAGGTTGAGAACCACTGTCCTGAGTCATCTCCATATGCAAATGATTTCACAGTAACTCTATCAGACTTCTCTTCCCATCACTGCAAACATGTGGTAACACAGCTTCCCCACAGGGAGTTTACTTACCATGGCCTTTTAAACGTGAAACATTTCAAAACTGAAATGTGAAACTGAAGTTTTGGATTAACTCAATTGTTATTATCACTTTATTACTCTATATATTTACTTTGAGTCCAATGAAAATAACAGTATGATATTTATAGCAAGATAGTTGTTCCTTTAAGTCCAAACTTGGCCCAAGTATGAATAGAAGAGTTAAGACAGAACTAGCAGTTCTCCACTGCTAAGCTATCTGAATATTAGCTGATTTCTATGAGAACCATCCTGGATTTATATTCTTTCTAATGTGGACAACACCAAGCCACACATCTAGTTCTGTGCTAAGTGAAAGCCCTGACTTCTCTTCTTTCTGCTCATGACCTAGCCCCATACCGCAAAATCAACCAAAGAATTTCTGTGGATCTGGACACCTCTGAACACGAACTAACTTGTCAGGCTGAGGGTTACCCTGAGGCTAAAGTCACCTGGACAAGCAGTGACCACCGAGTCCTGAATGGCAAAACCACCATCACCAGTTCCGAGAGGGATGAGAAACTTCTCAATGTGACCAGCACACTTAGGGTCAACACAACAGCTAATGAGATTTTCTACTGCACTTTTCGGAGATCAGGTTTTGAGGAAAACAGTACATCTGAGTTGGTTATCCCAGGTAATATTTTGAAAGTCTCAATTAAAATGTGCCTAGTATTATCCCCTGGTACCGAACATGATGCCTGCTCATCGTAGACATTCACTGTTTGTTGAATGAATATGCAGCCTGCTTCCTTATCTCCATCATCCAAGTCACATTGCTATATTTATTGAATATTTATATATCAACAAATATTTATTGAATATAGCCTATGTGCAAAGCATTGGGAGCCTTCAGAATAAGACAGTTCATATTCTTTAGGAAACAGATTAAAAAACAACAACAGGCAATCTCATCCATGCAGAAATGCTGTTGTGGCTGAGGGATCCAGGGGAGCACCTGAGAAGAATACTCAATTCAGGCCATTTGTCTCCCTCAAGGTAGTCTATGACATTTCAATTCAGGGCAGTCTGCTTAGTGCATAGGGCTAAAGGCTGCGTGTCCCTGGGCAAGTTACTCAACTTCTATAGGCCTCATTTTCCCCATATGGTTATAACCTGTTGGGCAAAATTATCATGGGATTACTTGAGCTACAGTATATGACAAGGATTTTAGATTTTTACCTGCACAGATTCAGCTATTTTGGGGTTTGTTTTTTTTTTACCGCCCTACCCTACAGAAGTGGGTAAAGTCGGTAAGGCAGGAAACAGTCTGGTGACCGGCTCAGACCTTCAGAAAAAGTGAGGTGGGCAAGCATGATGTTAAATAAAATTAGAGGTATTCTGCGAAGCACTTTTTACTGCTCTCTCCCCCACTAGATGTTGACAGTAAAGTTTCAGGTACTTCAGAGAAAACAACTTAAAAAGATGGGTAGAAACGTCGAGCAATAGGAAAATACAATCCAGCCCGTCCCCGTCCCCCCCACCCCCCACCCCCCCAAAAAAGAGTTTAGATAATGGAAGAGATGCTCTTACTGGGCATGAGTCACTTTGGTAGGAGCTGCATTAGTGGGTTCCTCCCATTTAACAGCTGTTTTATGACAGCTTATTTGTGGAATGACTTAGAATAACTCGAACTGCTTGGAGTCTGTTTCCTCATCTGTAACCTGGGGATTTTTTAATACCTGGCATATCTAACTCATAAACTTATTTTGAGACTCAAAATAGATATGAACAGGCTTTATAGACTGTAAGCTACTAGATGAAGGCGGACTGCTGCTGTGGCTTTAAAACTTCAACTAGGTAGTCAGAGATCATGACTAATGGTGGGAGGTTAGCAATCTCTGAGCCTCATGTGCCATGGGACCACCTTTTCTTCCTGCATGGAACCGCAGACAGAGAGATTGGGAGATTGGTGAGAGGCACTAATGATTAGATGTCCCAAGATTCAAACTGTGGAAAAAGAAGAGATAAAAATTGGTCCCCTCATAGGGAGGTGAGCATTCTTTTGCAGTGCTAGTTGGCCTTCATGTTGCATCTTTGCCGTGTACATTAGCCTTTTGACTTCAATATTAAAGAATATAAGAGAAAGTGAATTAATCAAGGCTGCCATTTAGGATTAAGCAGCCACCCACTGTGGTACTGTGCTAAGCACTTTACAAACATTAGCCTTATTGTTTCCAACTTGTAGGCTGGTTAAAGGACTTGTCCGAGAAGTCAAAGCTAGTGAGTGGCAGCAGAATTTAACCCCAGGTCCATCTGTCCAAAGCCTGGACTGCTTCCACTTTTCCATGCTGCTCTCACTTTCATATTGGAGGTATCTTACCATTCCAGCCACTCAAGGGACAGGAACTTTTGAAAATTAACCTAAAGCTAACCTCGATCACTTTCAAGGATGATTATTCTCTTGACTACTTCCCATCAAAATTTTATCTTTAGTCTATTTTTGTTTTGTTTTGATTTTCAGAACCACCTACAATTCCAAGAAATAAGAGGACTCACTGGGCAATTCTGGGAGCCATCCTGTTGTTATTTGTAGCCCTGGCAGTGGTCTTCTGTCTACAGAGAGATGGTATTTCCTTTATTGAAAGGGTCTTCACTGGGGATGTGGGGAAATGTATGGGGGTGCTAATGTTGTCACAATGGTACTTAGTAGACAGAGCCAAGGATGCTAAACCTGCTGTAATGTGCAGGGCAGTCCCACGTAATAGGGGGACTACCCCAAATGCTTGCAGTACCCCCACCAGGAAACACTGATTTATAAAATGCTGCCTTCCTATAAGCCTTTTCTTTCGGGACTTATTTTCAATTATGCAAAGTAGATTTTAGCTATGCCATCATGTGAACCTGTATATCACCTCTTCCTCTAGCCCTGTTCATTCTCCTATCCAGCAGCATCACCAGCATTGGAAGGCAGCAGTGCACACTGTAGGAGTTTTTCTGAGGCAGTGACAGTTGGATCATGACTGCAGGGAAACCTGACTTGCCTTTGCAAGGTGGCACAAAAACATTCTACTGTTTAATAGCAATTACAGTGACTCTGAGCAGTATTGCTGAGTGAAGATCCATGTGTATAGAAGTGAGGGGCAGGAGAACAGGAGTGAATAGAGGTTGAAGAAGACCATCATCATGCAGTTTCTTTCTATTATGGAAATAACTAATAACCACAGACTTAGAGGAGAGAAAAAGCTAAAATACCTGTTGGTTTTAGTTGAATTTGAGTCTTATATTAGTTGCACTATTATATTGAGCTGGTTTCTGGATACCCTAAGTTATAAAAATAGTCCTTCTGTAGAGCTGAGATACTTTTACCGTAGAGTATTTTGCTGATTATTCAATTTTCTAAATAATTTGAATGTGCTTATCTCTCTGTTTACTTATGGCAACAATTGAATGCAGGAAAATGAGCCTATTCAAATAATTTCTTCCCATTTTAAGATGACTCAGAGAAAACATTTCTCCAATTCTTTGAGAAGTATACTAAAGGACACAATGGTGGTTTGCATAGAGTTATCTGTTGTCAATAAGGAAGCAGAAAATGGAAGGGAATTCCAGTAGTTGTTGAGGAATTCCCCACAACCCTTTAAGAGGGGATCTGGGAAAGTAGTGTAATTGAGGGAGTGGAGGTTGCTGATTCTAAAGACTAAGTACTTATTGCTTACCAGAACACAGACAGCCAGAATATAAGGACCAAGTTTCAATGATAGGAAGATCCTGAGATGGAGTTGATTTGTCCAAGGAAGTGACTATTACCAACTTGCATTTTGAATATTTTCCTATGGAAATTATTAGTTGGTATTAGAAATGACTAGGAAACCAGTGCATGATAAAGTACCTCAGAGTATGGTCCATCTCTGAGGTAAGAATGGAAAATAAAAGTATATACTTACAAAGAAAATCTAGGAGCAAACGCCCTAAACTGTTGAATTAACCTCAGGGGTTGAGACCTGTGAAATAAGGAAGTCTACCAGATTTTCTAGGGATTAAAAATGTTTCGTAGGAGCCTGGAATTTAAACTTGAGTCACTGTGTGGGATGTAGAATTGTGTTTTGTGGAAATAAAAATGACTTTTTTTTTTTCCAAGTGAAAATGATGGATGTGGAAAAATGTGTCACTCGAGACATGAACTCAAAGAAACAAAATGGTAAGAATATTAGCACGGATTGAGAAGTTGAAGAAAAAGGAAACAAAAAGCTAAAGTAATAACAAGGAGGAATCTATCAGTCATAATTCCTCTTCTTTTAAAAGAATGTTAGCTGTTGGAACTGCTGGCTTCTTTTTGCCTCACAACTCTAATGTGAGAACTCCTCCCCCTACCACCCCTACCACCCCTACACTGCTCCCATCGCCCCCCTGCAGTCTAAGAAGGTTTAGGGATGGCCTGGAGAGTAAAGAATGGTGAGCAGCTCTGTGTGTGTGTTGGGGGGTGTAGGGGAAGGCTTGAACTGGGGTAGGAGGCAGTTTCTCTCTGCTGGGTCTCTATTGCTTTGCATCCTAACTTCTCCCTGCAAGAGGACCAAGTTGACTTATGTAGATAGATTGATCAATAGAAGTTGTATGTCAGGAACTGTGTTAGTACCTCCTTTAATTCCCTCCAACCCCTCAAATGAAGGAGATAAATACCAGGATTATCTCCACTTTATATTAGAGAATACAGGGCCAAGAAGATCATGTAAATTGCACCAAAACATACAGCTGATAAATGACAAAAATCAGGGTTTGAGGCCCATTAGCTTGACCATAGAACCTTACTCTTAGCCTATCTGCTTGATTCCATTTTGCCACAAATGTCTATATTTATAAAAGGTCAGAAAAATCTCAACCAACTGAACTAAGAGAAATAATGTTTTCAATTTGCTTTAATATATTTAGAAACCAAACTTCACAAAAAGCCCAACTTTAAAGTAATCTAATCAGATTGGACAAGGTCAGGCAGGTTTTATTATGTGGTTTCCTTTGTGTGTAAAGCTAACTAGTGGATGTTGTTTGGGTCATCCTAGGGCGACTAACCATCCCAGTTTTCTCAAGACCAAAGGTTTCTCAGGTTAGGGGACTCTCAATTTTAAAATCAGGACAGTCTGGGACAAACTGGAATGGTTGGTCACCCTTTATCAAGTAAAGGTATTTGAGCAAAAATATACTCTGCTTCTTTATCTTCTTGCAAATGTATTATAGCATCTAGCGAATATAAAATATTTCTCATTATTGCTCTCCAGCTGCACAGTTTGAGGAGACGTAATCCAACATTGAAACTTCTGGTCTTAAAGCAGGGATTCTCAGCCTGTGGTTTGCGTTTGTCAGGGCTGAGCATGACCAGAGGTGTGCAATAGGCCGGCAGGCTGCAGGCGATGTAGGACTCAAAAGGCTCAAGCACTGAAAATGGAAGCTGGAAAAGAAGAGGAGAACAAAGAACAAAGGAAACCTTGATACTTCAAAATGACTGGAAGACTCATCAGTGCCTATGTAAGGGAGAAAGGAAACTTCTGAATGATGAGCCTCCACGCAAATTGTCCATCGCTCTTCCTAGGAAAACAAGTTGAGATTCCCTGATTTATTGGTCAGTTCCTACAGAAGTGCCTTCAATCAGTGTCTTGATTTGTCTTCTGCATGATTGAGAGTGCTGGTGTTGTAACAGTATTTAAATATGAGTGATTTCTATTTATTTTGAGTTTGTGGGGTCTTGTCGTGTGAGTGTGGTTGTGAATGATCTCTTTTGGAAGATATATTGTCACCAAACTAAACTTCCTGCTTAATCACTTGTACGTGTCCAGGAAAATGTATAGTATTTGTCAGGTGCTTTGTATCCTCTATAATTATTGATATGTAGGAAGCACACAAACAAACCATTGGTTTGTATAGGATGATGGAGTGGTAAGTAGCAGACCTCAGTTTCCCAGACTGTCATCCACTGTCCTTTTAGAATATAATTTACAGCTGCTAATTTATTCATTCAGCAAACATTTATGAAATGCCCTTGCATGCCAATCACTGTGCCAGACAATGAGTCTACAGATGTGGGCAAAATAAAGTACTGTCCTAAAGGAGCTCATAGCATAATGGGGAGACCAGTAGGAAAATGTATTATTACACTTCGTGCAGTGACATAGCATAAGGTGTTGGAGGAGAATGATAGTGAGAGGGAGAAAGTCTAGATATGCTGCCAAAAGGAGGGGGGTACTGTTGGTGGCCAGTCAGTGTGTTCCTGGACAACTGAAAATACTTTAATAATCAAAGCAATTTTAGTTTGTGAGACAATATCAATAATTTTTATGTTTTTAAGATGTCAAATTTTTTAAAACTGTAGAAAATAACTTCTGAATTCCTTTCCTATCATTATATTTACCCCTTATTTATTTGCCTTTGTCATGCAACCTGATGCTTATTTATATAGTGTCTGGTATTATTTAACAGTTCTTTTTTATTTAAATGCAGTTGAATTTTGAATTTAGACTTTTCCATGATTCAAAATTCAGAAAGTCAACTAGGAGACATTAAAAAGTCTCTACGCCATCCTCGTATCATCCAGGTTGCCTTTCTAGAAGCAACCACTCTTGCCTTTTGTTTATTATGCTTCTGAAGATATTCTATGAATGTTTGTGGAAATATATATATACAGACAGTCCTCGGGTTACATCAGACTTGATGTATGTCGTTTTGTGGTTACGTCGCCATCTCCCATTTATTTATTTTAAAAAAAGTTCCGTCATTTCGATGTATGTACATATATGCTTTATGTGTTTTATTATTTATTTACCACAAGTAAAGGTCAGGAATTGTTACCTTTCTTTTACATTTTTTTTTTTTTTTTACTGTTTCACTTCATTACTGCTTTGTATGTGCTCCATGTAGTGATATAGGTGCTTATGTAGGTGGGTTTGACTTACGGCGAAAATCTCCTTACGTTGCGCCATAGGAATGGATCTCCGACGTAACCCGAGCACCCACAATATAGCATATATTTTTCTTTCTTCCTGTTTTTCACGTGTGTGGTAACACATTACATGCCTGCTGTACACTTTGCTATTTTTATTTAATATATTATTTTATATGTAGCAGTGGGACAAATATGAAGTTCCCAGAGGTCAGGCACCATTGTCTTGTTAGTTTCTAGAGCACCTTTTCTATAGCCTCTTAGTGTCTTTCATAAGACTTAGTACATGCTAAATATGTACTACGTGTTCATTTAGATAACCAGCAATTCATTGAGAACTTGCTTTATGACTGAGGAGGGACTTGGTTTATTTTGTCTTTCTCAAAATGGAACCCATGGGCTCTCTAACTGGGTCAATTTAGTCCTAAAGGATGACTTTATTACTAATTCTGTGTGACAGAATCATGTCTGCAACTTGTTATTTTGTTTGTTTTCTCCTGTTTTCTCTTGAGTATAAAATTGACTTTGATATTGTACTTGCAAAATTACATGTTCTTTTTGGAAATTCAGTAGAGTACCTTGACCCTAGAGTCAGACCCTCATGTGTGCCAATAAAGACCCATGAGTTATGCTTAAACCAGCCGTGGGCAAACTACGGCCTGCGGGACGGATCTGGCCCATTTGAAATGAATAAAACTAAAAAAAAAAAAGACCGTACCCTTTTATGTAATGATGTTTACTTTGAATTTATATTAGTTCACACAAACACTCCATCCATGCTTTTGTTCCGGCCCTCCGGTCCAGTTTAAGAACCCATTGTGGCCCTCGAGTCAAAAAGTTTGCCCACCCCTGGCTTAAACCCTTGAGTCCTGCCAGTTTTCATCACTACAGAGGCCTCTTAAGATCTTGCTTTCCAAAGGTGATGAGATTCAGATGCCTTCTCAGAAGCTCCCAGAGTATTCCTTCCCTTTTAGCCATTTACCTGGATTGATGACAAGGAAAACCTTCTTTGCTTTTTCACATGTCAAAGCTGAAGAAACAGGATCTCCAACAAAATTTCTTCTCTTATCTTTTTGCACATGTTCATTTGTACAATAGCCCTTGTTTGTGTGATGTACAAGCAAGGATCCAGTCTATTCACTCCATTCCTAATTCTTAAAGCCTTCATGGTGTTAGATTTATAAAGCACTTTAGCCCTTTGTCTTGTGTTTTGTTGTAAATGACATAGGCAGAAATGATATATAATTCTGCATTTGATAATCACTGTATACACCTGCATTAATTTAATAAAACATTCTTATTTATTGTGGTTCTGGTACACCAGCATGACCATTTTTCTTGTCTTATAAAAACCACTCCTAATTTAGCATCCTAGTGGAGACAGTTACTTGAAAGATCTTCAGCCATCTTCCTCGTTCTTTTTTTCCCCATAGCTTCTATGTCTACACAGCATGCTCTTAAGTCTTGCATAATGAAAAATATCAAAAGAATTATTTTTAAAAGCATATTTTGAAAATTTTTATTCTCTGTAACTCCATAGCTTCTTTTAGGAAAATACCAAAAAAAAAAAAAATTGTCAGAATTGTGCCATCCGAATTGAAGAGTTGAGGGAGGGAAAGTGGAAGAGATGGAGTGGTAAAGAGAACTACAGGGAAACAAAGGGGCTTTCCTTTATGCGAGTACTCTTCTCAGATCAGTAAACATGGATATGTAAGCCAACACACATGAAGCTGGATGTAGTTCAATCTTCAGGTTCTGAATAGGAAGTGAGAAACCTAGAGCAAAGCCAAGGTTAGAATTGAGTCCTGGTACAGAGTGCTACCATAGGGAGATTTATGGTTTTACAACAAATGACAACACTTGTCATTCAAGGAAGTATAGAACTTTTAATGCTGTCATCTAGCTTAATTAGTCACCAAGTTCACTTTACAGAGACTTTTGGTCATTTCTCTGAATCAGACACTCAAAAGGTGATGATGATTTCTAAGAATATAGGCCAGATTCTATAAGGTGTTTTTTAAAAAAATTTATATCTATATCTATATATCTATATAGTTGATTTTAGAGAGAGAGGATGGGAAAGGGAGAGAGAGAAATATCAATGTGAGAGTGAAACATTGATGTGAGAATCATTGATAGGCTGCCTCCTGCACACCTCCTACTGGCAATTGAGCCTGTAACCCATGCATGTGCACTGACTGAGAATCAAACCGTGATCATCTGGTTCATGGGTTGTCACTCAACCACTGAGGCACACTGGCCAGACTCCTTGTTATAATTTAAATGTTTCCAGAATTATTTTTATTTTAAGAAAAGTTAAAGTTTGACCAAACTGAAGCAATTGTTAGTAGTTGGGTGCTATAACTAACAACCATGATAATTACCATTCATTGAGCATATATTCTATGCCAGGAACTAAGAGTTACATATATTATCTCACTTAATGCCATGAACCAGCAAGGAGGTGTTCCAAACAAGGAAACCACATTTGCCTGGATGACTGCCAAATCAGCAAAGTTAAATAAGTGCATAATTACAGTGATACTATGGGGAAGCTTTAAAAAAGTTTTGATTGAAATTCCCGCTGCTTATTTACTTACATCTTTTCCCTCAACAAAAAATGTAAAAAGGTCATTTAAAAGTATTGTATATAAGACTATGACATTAATTTTGAATGGACAGTAAATAGCCAAATATTGGCTGAAATATAAACTTCTTAGTTTCTTAATTATTGTGAAGCTATCATTTTGGCTCCATTTTCCCCACTTATTAATGATCTGATTATATATTCTATAATAGAAAAATGCAATTGGATGGACAGGAAGTCTAGAATACCCATTTCCATTGAGGAAACATTAATGGTAAACACAGATTCCCCATCTCCTCTTTCCACTCAGTGTGAACTCTGTAGGAGATACCTTCTTGCAGAAAATGAGTATGTAATCCTTTCTTGGCTGAGAAGAAAGTCAGGCTTGGGAGATAGGCAGCCGTGGAGTGAAATCTCACTCACAACCAGGATTCAATCCCTCACCAGAGCCTTTCATGTCAGATGACAAACCAGGGTGCGACCTAAGGGTTGAGGGCAGGTTAGAAATGTTAAGGGACACGCATTGCAGAGATAGGCCTGAGGAAATGAGCAGCAGCAACCTGGTTGAAGGTGAGGGAAAGGGAGGTGAAGATCCACCCAGTCTTTAAACTTGCATCATCTCTAGGCTGGGAACTAGCCAAAGGATCCCACAAAGGTTCTCAATGTGTTGATATCCCTGGGCGTGACTACGATGGTGCTGTAATGAGTTCAAATAGTGTTCCTGTGCCTACATTTTGAGAAGGGGTAATTTTCAAGATAATAACTGAATAGGCTCCAATAACAGAAGAAGGCTGTGCGGCAGGATTGCAGTATACCTCAACATCTTAATCTGATTTTTCTCTGTGTAGTTCCCTTTACCTGCCCTCTCTCTCTTCGTAGCCTGAGGGTCTATTTCCC